GAATAGATAGAAATACACTGCCACGGCCAATCTTGTTTCTAGTGCTTGGTGATTAGAGGGGTATCTATTGAGAAGACATCTAAATTTGTGTAAATATTGGAAGAGTTAACCCTTCAATCATTTAATCTGTCATAGTCTCTAATTAAATGTCCAAAGCATCTTCAGTGATGATGCAGTCTTTTTTGCTTGAATCTGATCTAATTTATTATAAATAACTTAGTGCCTTTTCATGGTGTTCCTACTGTTTGGGAAGTATATTTTCTGTACTAATCTTGAAAGGTGCCTGTGATGGGGTGGACTAAGCCCAAAGGCCTGCTGCTGGAGGCCTCAGGGTTCTGCCATACCCATCCCAGGACAGGAAAAGTGGAGAGGTCCTCCAAGCAGGCTAGAGTGGCGCAGCCAATTAGAGAGGCCGCAGGGAGTTGCCAGAGAGGGCCCAGCAGGCTCCTATAAAAGGAGCTGCAGGGCCAGAGTGAGTGCAGTGTGCTAGCAGGGACTAGGGGAGTAACAGGTGTTCCTGGCTGGTTGCAAGGGTAAAGGCAGGTAGTTGCCGGCAGGGACCAGGAAAGCAAGGGAATAGCTTCTGTCTGGCTGCCAGGACTCACTTAGGACAGGCCCAGGGAAGGGACTGTACATGGAACTCCTAACCCCCTCTTGGAAGGTGGCTGATCTAGACTGACCCAGCTGGAGAGCCAGGGTCGGAGGACTAAAGGGCAGGCGAAGAGCCTCCAGGGAGGAAGCCCTGGAAGTGCTTCTCCACCCCAGAGCAGGAACCTTTGCATGTAAGTTGGTCAACTAGGGTACTGAGAGAGTCCCTGTTGGCCAGACTTTTGAGGACTGGAGCCTGGGGAGGGCTACAGGGACAGTGTAGGCGGCTCAGCAGAGGACTGAGCCGCTGAAGACCTGCCGAGACATCTCTCAGCTAGAGGTGGGCGCTCGTGAAAGGTGGGTGCCACCCCGCTGAAAATAACTGAGAGATTGCAGGCACTATCAGCCAGAGAAGGAGTGCTTGCGAGAGGCAGGTGCCGACCCCATTACAGTGCCATATATGTCAACTCTGGAGAATGTTACCATGTCTCACTATAGAGCAGCAGAGCACAAACAGAATCTGTACAAACTTACTCCTCCATGTGATTATAACATGTAGGGTTTAATTCTAGGGATAAATACAGTAGTTTCTGTGCCTATTCATTCCTTCAACCCTCTGCTGACAGAGCAAACAAAGGTATCATTTGTTGTTGTGGTCATGCACCGTGGACACCTGCACCACTAGGAACTCTGAGCTCCCCAATGCATTTCATGTAGTGCACCAAACTACTGTTGGATGGAAGGTACCTGTCCTCTTATTAAACACTTAGCCATGGAAGATACTACTAGTGGATAACTTTCAAACTTAATGTTTAAATTAACTCACAATTCAAAGGTAATAGGTAGGGCCCTACCAAATTCATGTCCGGGGAAAAATGCGTCACGGACCGTGAAATCTGGTCTTTTGTGTATTTTTACCATATACTATACAGATTTCATGCGGGAAAACCAGCATTTCTCAAACGGGAGGTCCTGACCCAAAAGAGGGTTGCAGGGGGTTGCAAGGTTATTGTAGGGGGGCTCATGTTGTTGCCACCTTTACATCTGTGCTGCCTTCAGAGCTATGTGGCTGGAGTGCAGTGGCTGCTGGCCAGGTGCCCAGCTCTGAAGGCAGCACCCTGCCAGTAGGGGGGAGGGATATCTCAGTGGTTTGAGCATTGGCCTGCTAAACCCAGGGTTGTGAGTTCAATCCTTGAGGGGGCCACTTGGGGATCTGGGGCAAAAATCAGTACTTGGTCCTGCTAGTGAAGGCAGGGGGCTGGACTCGATGACCTTTCAAGGTCCCTTCCAGTTCTAGGAGATGGGATATCTCCATTAATTAATAGTAGCGCAGAAGTAAGGGTGGCAATACCATACCTTGCCATCCTTACTTCTGCACTGCTGTTGGTGGTGGTGTTCAGAGCTGGGCTCCTGGCCAGCAGCTGCTGCTCTGCAGAACCCAACTCTGAAGGCAGCACTCCACCAGCAGGGGCACAGAAGTAAGGGTGGCAATACTGAGACCCCCTTACAATAACCTTGCAAACCCCCTCCCCACACACCCTTTTGGGTCAGGACCCCTACAATGACAACACCGTGAAATTTCAGATTTAAATATATGAAATAATGAAATTTATGATTTTTAAAATCCTATGACTGTGAAATTGACCAAAATGGACCCTAAATTTGGTAGGGCCCTAGTAATGAGCTATTTAGTTTTACAACTTCCTGTCTGTTGGTATTGGAGTAGCTGATTCAGGTTTTTTAAGGGTATCTTTCTATACTGATGATTTGAACTCCACCACAAGATTGAGGCCCCCCCCAAACAAACAAACAAACAAAGAAACCCTGTAAGAAGTAAAACTTGAGTAGTGTAGTACATGATCATCTTACTGACATTCTATTCCTATGAATAGTTTCTTGTGCATACCCTATCTTTAGACAACTTCGTGATAGTGGGCGGAAAGTGGAATTGTTAATAGATCAGTGCCCTTGCAACTGATTTAAATGCCAAAATCATGTTGCCAACTTGCTAACTTACCTATTTGATATGCGCTATAGCTGACATTCCAGGGTGATAAAAACTAGTTAGTCCCAGTTTAAGGCATTTTCTATTTTAAAAACTGCTTCATTAGTTCACACCATATTACACTTAGTTTTAGTTACTTATTCAAATTGTGGCTATATGACAGTATATAGATTAATTTAGGACTGTATAATAAGTACAACTGCAGTGGACATAATACTAATATATTTAATAATACTGACTATTGGAATGTCTATATATGTTTTGGTTTGATATTTTCTCGAGGAAGTTATACATGTCATGACATGTTCAGTTTTCAATATTGTATAAACAAAATTCAAAAACATTTGATTATATGAAAACATGAGTAATGCAGAGTTATAGGCTTCAAGCATTAAGCAATCGGAAGCATGCAGAACTGCAGACGACCAGTCCAGGTCCATTCGGCCATGCAACGTTCTGTAGCAGAAAACCAACTTTGAGTTAGTGGATAGACCAAATCTATTCCTGTTTTGAACGGATGTATCCAAGTTTGAAGATTTGTTCTATGCTTGGACACTGATGAAATTATTTTTCCCAGTTAAAACCAGATGTAAGCCAGTATTTACCCAGTACCCTGTCCTAAACTAGTTTTTCCAGGGAAATCACCAATCCTGATAGGGGCCAACAAGGAATTTACTATTTAGAGTGTATGTGTGGAAATAAACTGGGGTTCTACTCCTGAAAAGCCAATCTGTTCTGAAGTGTAACTGTAAGCCTCCTTTTAGTACAGTCCTCTTCAAAGCACTCAGACTAAAATTTTTGCTTGTTGGAGGAAGAGACTTGCAACACTAAATATTGAATGTTAATAATACTTACCTCTCTTCATCCAATATCTTTATCCCCAAACAATTACATTAACCAGTTACAAATACATTCTGGCTTCTGTTGCATTCACATTTTTTCTATTAAAAGTAAGAGATGGCTTTATTCATGTCTCTGCAAGTCAAAGATTCTGTTTGTGCCATGGGAGGCAAAATGGTTTCAGTGCAATTTTGGAGCTCAGGTACTCCAGACCTAAACCAGCACTAGAATAAAGGAACCTGCCCTATTAGATTCCCTCTCTAAAAGTTCTTAAACAAAAGTTGAGACCAGCAGATTTTGCCACCAAATTAAAGTCCTTATTGCTGATTGGCCTTAACATAGTAATTTCTCTTACTAGAGTTCAGTAGAATGAGAGCCTCTTAATTGGCAACTTTGTGACTGTGATGTGCCAACTAGGCTTTGTCCCAGTTGTCTGAGGCTCATAAGAAAACATACAGGTGTATAGTTACTTTATTGCTTTAATCATATTCTAAAACAAAAAAATATTAAAACTAGCAGATGCATTTTAAATGACAGTGCTTAGCTTTGCCTGGACAGACGAGGCTTGTCCTTCTCATGGCTTAGTCATGGAAAAACATCTCTGGCATCTGTCCCAATTAAGCACGTTTGCTCGTTGTTTGTGGGAACATGATTTCTGCTGTACTTAAATGACTGAAATTATATGTTTCTGTTACAATTGTTCCCCGTCTGTTGGGTGGGTAGGGGGAGAACGGTCAACTTAAGTGCATGCACTGTGTTAGTGCTTCCTGACATAGAATCATAGGACTGGAAGGGACCTTGAGAGGTCTTCTAGTTCAGTGGTTCTCAATCGGCTACGCAGAGGTCTTCCAGGGGGTATGTCAACTCATCTAGATATTTGCCTAGTTTTACAACAGGCTACATAAAAAGCACTAGTGAAGTCAGCACAAAGTAAAATTTCATACAGTGAAATGTAAGTACAATATTAATATTCCAATCAATTTATTTTATAATTATATGGTAAAAACAAAAAAGTAAGCACTTTTCAGTAATACTGTGCTGTGACACTTTTTGTATTTTTAAGTCTGATTGCGTAAACAAGTAGTTGTTAAGTGAGGTGTGACTTAGGGTACGCAAGAAAAATGAGACTCTTGAAAGGTGAATAGAAGTCTGGAAAGGTTGAGAGCCACTGTTCTAGTTCAGTCCCGTGCACTCAAGGCAGGACTAATTATTATTTACATGCAATGCTATGTATAATCAGATGTTTGTATTAGGGACTGTGTTTCTGTATTCTATTGGGCTGAGGTTGCCATTTTACTGCTCAAAAGAAATAACTGAATTTTCTTCAAATATTGCCTCTTGCTATTGCAGTTTTGTGTTTAGTTCATGCATCTTTTGTATATTTTGGTATGTAATCATCAAATTAAAAATTAAAAAGGAAATTATTTTTATCAACTTCTTGCATTTTAGAAATACATGATATCCAGTTACTTAAACTATTCTACCATAAAGATGTAGTTAATATCCAACTGTTGTACACAGTGGTAAGAAAAATGGTTCTGTTTCCCTTGTGATTCTCCTTCTGGAGAGAGAATATTTATACCGTTTTTTTTTTTTTTTGTCAAAACTGACAGTGTTAAGGATTAGAAAAGTCTCTTCAGAGCAGTAATGTTCCAGAATGTATTTTGTCTCTTGAGCCTGACCCCTGCAAGGACTCAACCTTCTGGACTGCAGCAGAAAGTGGGGAAAATCCTCAGGGCTTAAGTGGCCTCCCAGTCCCACACTGGGAGGTGCATTTCTTGGAACTTGTGTAGAGGAAGAGGGGCCATTATCTGAAGATTTGAGAGATGCTAGGCAGGGATACCAGGGGATAATTTATGTAAAAGAGAGAGAAAACATTAAAAACGTGTAGTGAGTCAGTTGTCACTTGGGGAGGAGTGGATTTAAAAGAACCAAGGGAGTTTGGGCTGGTGTAATAAAACAAATAACTCCCCTAAAATGTATAGCGAAGGTTTAAATTACGATGATTTGGAATGATCGTTAGGCATGTAGCAGGCAGCCTGTGTAACCAGATCTTGTTAGTTTTATCCACTCTTCCTGCTTCTTGTTGTTTTACATTTGCATCTAATCTATAATTAAATTGTAAACTCTGAGGGAGGGATTGTTTGTACAGCACCTAACACAATCCTGATTGTGGCCTTTGGGTGTTACCGTAATTTAATAATATTCAATAGATTTTTGTGTGTGGAATAACTGCCATATTAAAGACCATCCTTAAATTAAAGATTCAGTTGGACTCTTACTTTATAAAAGTAGAATACTTTTAAAGCGACAAAAAGCCATTGAGAAACTGAGCTGCTTGTGGTTTTGTCCCACAGGGTTGAGTAACTGTCATATTCTAGTTTAAAGCTAGAATGGAAAGAGATGTTGCTTAATTTGGAAGAGATCCTAGGAAACCAATACTAAATTCAGAAGTGTGATTAATGAGGTTAACTGCCGGAGACTGATATTATGGAATAAATAGATAGGATTTGCATTCTGTCATAGTCCATGGATTGGTATTGAATGGGTTGTTGAAAGTGGCTCAACACATATGTTCTCCTCTTCCAATAAACTTTTGTATGCATGATCCACATGGCTATCAAACTTCAAAACACAGGATGAGGACAAGCAGTACAAGTTCTTTACCTTTGCAGAAGAGGAGCTAACAGAACTGGCTATGTAAATGGGAGGAGTTTTGGCAGGGAGGGAAAGTGGCAGTCATAGACTGAGGCAAATAGGCAATAAAACCACATGTGAGTTCTTGAGGCAGCTGAATTATGCAACTGTATACTCTTGCAGTTTCTAGAGACCCAGATTGCTAAACTCCTCCCTTGCCAGTTCATTTTATTTTATTTTGTCTTATCTAGTATGTAGACAATAATAGAGCATTCTGAACAGCGGACTGTTATCTGGACTGCTGTTTTTCAAACTAGAACAGTTTCTCATGGCATATCAATGTATATCGCTGAAGTTAGCAAAACCTTTTCATCTAACAAGCTGAGCAAGTTTTTAACTATGGGAGACTAATATGAATTCTTAGGCCAGCAGTGCATGGTGGTAGCTGTGGAGTTTTGGTGTCTCTAGTAATAGCCCTGTGTTCAGGGGTTTAACAACTGCTTACATTTTATTAAGCCTTGGAATTTAGTTCCTGTTAGGAAGAAGTATTTAATTCTCAGTCTTAAACTGGGATTTCTGATTTCTACATTTTTAATTTAGTTTTTACAACTAATAGAAACATGATTCGCTTTAATGTAAATTTTGGCAAATGGGGAGACTTCAGAATGAATTAATTGTGCATGTGGAATTTTGAAACAAATTTGAGTTCTCATAAATGAAAGTTAGTACTTCACGTGCTCATTAGACATTACTTACAATGTTTATTTTCTGGGGAAATCTTATTGTATAAAATTTTGATATGCTATAAGGTTTATGCTTTGATATGTTAGTCTGATATAGTCCTTTGAAACCAATATTCTAATTGTGAAAAGTCATGCAGTGTTAATGTGCCATTGCCATCAAAGGATGGACTTCCTGCTGTAGAGATGGTACTTCTAGGCAGGCTGCACATTCCATACTATAGCTTAGAATTAGGTGAATATTATTTTATTAAAGGTTCCATAAGATGGTGGTTGTCCTCAGTGAACTGTTGTTCCACAAGGTGTGGAAAGAAATTTTCTCATGGTTCTTAACAAAAACAAAATCTGTTGGACCTGGCCAAGGGTGCTTTCAGAAGAGACACGCTTTCAAGTAGGTCAAAGCAGAAGAAACACATCCTGCTGCCTGTAGTATATGGAAGGCATGCATAGAGCTGGTGGCAATGGTGCCTCATATCCAAGAGTACTTTTTTACATATTTTGATGGGTTCTAGAAGATTTTTGTAATAGGGTTTCTTTTATTCTCTCAGAACACTGTAGGTGAGAGTGTATGTGGAATCCCCGAAGTAGCCTGTGTTTATTTCTTTGGGGTTTTTTCCTTTGGGGTTTTTTTCTAATTAAAAAGAGTTGCTACTGGATATTCCCTAAGTGCTCTTTTATGCCAGCTTCATGTACACACCTGCATTATCAGACTCCTTGTATTAACTTTTTAACAGGTGTATGGCCTCTCTCTCCATCAGTTTGACAGTCACTTAAAACGTGTAATGTTTGGGGATTACCAGTAATTGTAAAAAGTCACTCAGATTGTTGGCCTGGAGGGCACATTGAGCATAATTACTCAATATGACTCATTTCAGATAAAACTTATTTGGAAGGAAGATACCCAGTTTTCCAAAGCCTAAAGATGCTTTGTGTATTTTGATGTCTAGAAATTCCCCAGAATTATTCTGTCAACAGGGACCTGGAATTGTGGATTTGGAATAGCTAGTGCACTAATCTTATTTTAAAAGAACCTTGACAAAACTGGTGCTGAAATAGTAGAGCAGGTGCCAATGCACCAAGTAGCCTTAAGGCTGCCTAAAAAATTGTGTGGGTGCTGAACTGCTGTATCTCGGGCACCAGGGCACTGAGAGCAATCCAGGTGCCAGAGCACCAAGAAACAGCAGCTCATTGAAGTGAAACACAGACACCAAAACTGTAGCTGGGACAGGCGCTGGGACACTGAGGGAAATTGGGTGCCAAAGTGTCTGAAGCTGCAGACTCAAAATTTTGCACAGTTAGACCGGACCTGATTGGAAAGTAGGGCTAGATATGTACGAGATCTGCTGAGGCATTGCTGGGACCTAACAAAGAGCTGGAGCAGTGATTAATGATGCTTAGGCTATGTCTACACGACAGAGTTAAATCAACAATCATAAACCACTCTAATTATATTGCTTGTGCGTGTTTCCACAACGCTCCTTGTGTCGGCGGAGCATGTTCACAGTTGGTGCTCTAGCACTGACAGAGAGCAGTGCACCATGGGTAGCTATCCCACTGTGCAACTTGCCACCTTCTACTGCTTGGAGTTCTGGGAATGGATTGCAGTGCATCATGGAGGCAGGCTCACTGTCCCATGATGCAGTTTTTGCTGTTCCATCATTCCATGGGCTTCCAGCTACATTTTGTTCCATTTTTCAGCAGCCTCTGTAAACTGTTTGCCCGCCATCTCTGCCTGAAAGCATGCATCCTTCACTACTCTCCAGTTTTGTGATGAGCTGTGAATCTGATAATGAGTCTGTGATACCTGTCCTGCTGTGTGCTGTGGAAAGAAACAATTCAGGACTGATGTTGGCATTGACAGAACAGCTGCACATGGTGGACTGTCAGTACTGGGCTCGGGAAACAAGCACTGAGTGGTGGGATCTCATTGTGATGCATGTATGTATGACAGGCAGTGGCAGCAGAACATTTGGATGTGCAAAGCCACCTTCCTGGAACTGTGTGCAGAGCAAGGACACCAAATGAGAGCTGCCATCATGGTGGAAAAGCAAGTGGCGATTGCTGTATAGCAGCTTGCAACTCCAGACTGCTACCGAAATCCGTTTGGAATTGGGAGTCCACAGTGGGGGTTGCGGTGATGCAAGTGTGCAGGACTATTAATCGCCTCCCGCTATGAAGGACTGTGACTCTGGGCAATGTGCAGGAAATAGTGAATGGCTTTGTTGCAATGGGATTCCCTAACTGCAACAGGGCAATGGCACGCATATCCCATCTTATGACAGAGTACATCAACAGAAAGGGCTATTCCTTCGAGTGCTCGCTCATGTCCATTCCACATTAGGTGTGTGTGCTCGCCACGTGCACCGGTGCCGGAAGTTTTTTCCCCCAGCAGTATCCGTAGGGGACTGACTCTGGCACCTTCTGGAGTGGCGCCCGCATGGCGCGGTATAAGGGGCGCCACTGGCTCACCCCACCCTCAGTTCCTTCTTGCTGTCAGTGACGGTGCTGGAACCTCTGCTGCTTCGGCTAGCATTGATTCTTTCTCTGTTCTTGCGAACTTTGAAATCCTGTAAAATAGTTATACATAGTTAGTAGTTTTCTTAGTTACCCTTAGTAGTAGTTCTCAAATTCTCCATTAGTTCAGAATGGGACCCATTGGGGTGTCAGGGCATGCCCTGGTTCCCAGGCTTTAAGCCCTGCAATCGCTGCAAATGGCCTGTGCCCCTCAGCGATCCACATACCAGCTGCTTAGGCAAAGGGCACATAAGTGACAAGTGCCATTTCTGTAAGTCCTTCAAACCTAGAATGAAGAAGGAACATGATATCCATCGAAGAGCACTCCTAATGGAGTCAGCACTCATTCCGGAAGTGGATAGGATGAAGGGTCAATTGCAGAGGATTTCCAATTGGATTACCTCGTGCATAAGGTCCTGTTACGACCTGGCAGGGGTTCTGCCGCTGCCGATTGTCAGAGCGCAGGCATCTTCGGTGGTCTTCCTGGCACACATCCCTATCCAGGACATCTGTAGAGCTGCAATGTAGTCTTCTGTTCACATGTTTACCACTCATTATTCCATCACTCAACAGGCCAGAGACAACGTTGGGTTTGGCAGAGCTGTGTTGCAATCTACACATCCATGAACTCCTACCCACGTCCAGGGGTGCTGCTTTGGAGTCACCTAATATGGAATGGACGTGAACAAGCACTCGAAGAAAAGACAGTTACCTTTTCCATAACTGGTGTTCTTTGAGATGTGTTGCTCATGTCCATTCCACAACCCGCCCTCCTTTCCCCACTGTCGGAGTTTCCGGCAAGAAGGAACTGAGGCTGGGGGGAGCCAGCAGCGCCCCTTATACCATGCCATGTGGGCGCCATTCCAGAGGGGGCCAGAGCTGGTCCCCTACAGATACTGCTGGGGGGAAAAACTTCCGGCACCAGTGCATGTGGGGAACACACACACCTAATATGGAATGGACATGAGCAACATATTTCGAAGAACAGTTACGGAAAAGGTAACTCTCTCTTTTCTCTATGGTACTCCAGGCACTGGTGAATCTCTGGGGTCGTTTCACGGATATCAACGTGGGGTGGTCAGGGAAGGTGCATGATGCACACATCTTCAGGAACACGGACCTGTATAGAAAGCTGCAAGCGGGTACTTTCTTTCCAGACCAGAAGATTCCAATAGGGGGTGTGGAAATGCCCATAGTGATCCTGGGAGACCCAGTGTACCCCTTAATCCTGTGGCTCATGAAGCCGTATGCCAGAAATCTTGACAGCAGTAAGGAGCGTTCACGTACCAGCCAGGACTTGCCTATCCTTCCTTGGCCACATGGCTTAGTGTACATAGGTGACGGCCTTTGCTCAGCTCCACCTTTACTGCCTCCAGATGTGCTCCAGATGGTTTACTTGCCAAAATGTCACATCATGGACCTCATGCTGATAGGTGGACAGTACCCTGGTGAGGACTTTCAGTGGTGGACAGACCCACATCATGTATGCAGAGAGGTTCCCTTCCTTCATCTTCAGACAAGATGATAATCATTGATGCATCCCTCGTAGGCTGGGGAGTGCACATGGGTGAGTACGTGGACGATTACATGTCACAGGGAACATGGTTGTCTTTAGAATCCAGGATGCACATCAATATCCTGGAACTCTGAGCTGTAATGAAACCATGTCAATCCTTTCTCCCATTCATCCGGTCTCATCATGTTGTCTGACATGAGAGAACACCACTGCCATTTACTTCAACAAACGGGGGCACGAGATCGACAGCTTTATGCACAAAAGCAGTCAATCTCTGGAATTAGTGCACCACTCACCAGATCCTCCTGTCTGCAGCTTACCTTCCAGGGATACAGAATGTGCTCACTGATTCACTCAGCAGACATTTTGTGACTGACCAGAAATGGGCACTCCACAATTCAGTAGTTCAAGATATCGTCACCTGACCACACACCTCTGCCTCCCATATAAATCTCAAATGCACTACACCCCACTCCGGGGAGGTCTCTGTCACCACTCTCAGGGTCCGACCAAATCAACGATGCCTTTCCTCCTCTACTGCTCCTCCTTGAGTACTCCACGAGATCCGATGAGACAGAGTGATGGTCATAGCCCAGACAAATCTGGTTTCCCAATCTCCTTCATATGTTAACCCATCCACCAAATCTTATCTTTACCTTCTCCAACCTGCTGACATAGTTCAACAGTGAGATTAGACATCCCAATCCACAGGTGCTCTACCTCAGAGCATGGTATTTGGATGGGCATTAGCTTTAGAATGGGCCTGTCTTGCACAGCTGAAAAATATCCTCTCCAGCAGCAGGAAAGAATCCACTAAACACTGTTACCAGGCTAAGTGGAAATGCTTCACTTCCTGGGCCCAACAAAAGGGAGTTTTAATGGAATCAGTGGGGATCCCCCTTCTCCCGGACTACCTTCTATCCTTGAAGGTGGTGGGTTTTGCCATTTCAAAGTCCACGAGTATTCCATTTCCTGCCCTCCTTCCCCTTTGCTATGGATCTGTCTGATTTGCAGTGGAGAAGGAACTGGAGATGTGGTCATCTGTCCTGTCCTTTGTCACCTTGAGCGGAAGCATGAGGTGAGCTAAGGCACATGCTCAGACCAACAGACACTACTTTCAAATTCTCCAACTCCGGGAGCATTGTGTGCATGCATAAACCCTCAATGGAATACAGAATAGGGACCACACATCTCAAAGAATCACCAGTTACATGTAAGTAATCTCTTGGTTTGTTTGTTACCCTGTATGAGTTCCAATGTGGGGTGGTAGGTGACATTTAGGGATGTGCAGTCAGAGGGGTTTTTATTTCTGTATTGAAGCAGGTTCTCTCCGGGCATTTGGGTGGCCCATTCCATGATGTGATCTACTTCTCTGGTGGAGTGTCCTTGTTTGGCGAAGGCGGTTTTAAGTGTGTTTAAGGTGTGTATCCCAGACTCTCCTCAGAGCATATTCTGTGGTGTCTAAGTGAAGGCTCTATATAGCAGATTTCTTGGTATGTTTGGGATGGTTACTGGATCTGTGAAGATAGGTGTGTCCATCTGTGGGTTTCTTGTGTATAGTTGTCTGTAAGGTTCCATTGTTGAAGTTGATCATGGTGTCCAGGAACTTAATGCTAGTGTGCGAGTGTTCTCGAGTGAGTCTAATAGATGGGTAGTGGCTGTTGAAGTTGTGGTAGAAATCTGAGGAAGTTTTAGTCTGTCCAGAGGATGAAAATATCATTGATGTATCTCAAGTATATTATTGGTTTTGTGGTGCATTTGTTTGTGAACACGGTCACCTGAGCATTTCAATCTCACTTACGCTAAGTGTCCACAAATTGTTTTGCGTACAGATGTGATGTGTATGCATAAAGCTGCATATGCACAGATGAAGGTTGCACTGAGGCCATTTGAAAACATGGCACCAAGTGTGTTAATTTGATATAAATTTGTAGAATAACTCCTTGCTATCCTATATGTAAGGTAGCATAGCTTTGGAATTATTGGTGCTGAGAATAGCAAGTGTTTGAGACTGGGCTTAGAACTCATAAAGCAGAGATTTGTTACTCGCTGTGACAATTGGAGGACACCTAGTGGGCATACTGTTTCTTGCTTCTCTTTCTTGTTTTAAACTTTTACTGTGGTTTATGTTGAGGTTTTTAGACTTTGCTCAGGATCTACTCCTCTGTGGAAATGAGTCACACTTATGTAGATTTTTCTCAAAATATTGTTTTATAGAAAATTCATTGACGAAGCACACTGAAGAAGTTACTGTTTTACACAGGTATAACGAGGTATATCTCTGGTATAACTAACACATTCAGTGAAGTGATGCTTAGAAATAACTCTGAAATTATGTTTTCACTGTTGCTGTTAGAAAAGTCTTTCCAAACCAGCAGTTCCCAAGCTCTTTCATAGAATTTTAATGCTCAGATTTTTTGGGTCCCAGCTTAATTCCCATTTAATTGCATAATATTCCTATGGCAGCAACATTAATTCCTTATAGGAAAAGTTATAGGAAAGTATATATTTATTTTTACTTGTCTTGAGTATTCTTCTTGGAAAGAGTTAATCAGATTGACTACTCTTGCTCTTCATTTTACCTTTCCTCCCAACTGTTATGGCTTTCTCAGCAAGGAGAGGCAGCACCATATGAGCAGACCGCTCTCCATATCAGCATGTGCTCAATGGGCTGTGGTTTGGTAGTTTCTTGTCTAGACTGTAGGAAAAGTAACAGTACTTTGGACTTGGCTGTCTTTAGCTGAAACATCTATCGTTGACAGGGCCAGCATTACAATTTATGGAATCCCGTGTTTCTGGAAGGGGGAGGAAATAAGGCAGAGTTCCCTTCATCTTCTGTTCAGTCAAGGATGCTGTTGGGGGCGTCCTAGCATCAAGCAGACTCCTTAGCACCCCCCCTCCCCGCCCTATTGATGAAGAGGTAGATGGAGACCACCCCTGAGATGTACTGGTATAATGGGATGGAGGATCTAAAGTGGTTGCTTGCTCAGCTTGTGCTGGATAGACTCCACTGGAATCAACAGACTCCCTGAACTACGGCTGATTCTGGATCAGGGCTGTATTTAAGACTGGCCCTGATCATTAATCCCGCAATTCAGGTTAGACACGCGTTGCGGCTCCATGAAAACCATTTATATTGGTTCTGTTGTTTTTCTGTGCACAAGACTCTGACTTCAAACTGGAACTCTTTGTCAGCTTCTAGTTTTCTCTGTGGTAAACTGTAGGCAGAATGCCTGTGATGATAGCCTTTGATGGAGCAGATTCCTTTACATGGTAAGCCACCTATCTGAGCACAGACTGAACAATCCTCTGGGGCATCTCCTGCCTTTGTCTTGTTTTCTCTGTTTATGTTGTAAGTTTGTTGGAGCAGGGATTTTCTCTCTCCCTGTTTCTTACAGCACTAAACACACGGCATAACGCTTCAGTAGTAGTAATGCTCAACTGCAGGTTAAGCCCCATGTTTTCGTGAAACCCTTAAAGCTATGGCTTCGTGGGGGAGAAAAAGTATTGTAAAATTTTCATTTTCACTGAGTTTGGGATACAGGGACAGATATGAATGTCAGGGTTTAACCCCTATTGCATATGGTGGTACTGTATTTGTCAATCAAGAACATAGCTTTCACCAGTCTGGCTTTACAGCAGACTTTTTTCAAGAATGCTATAAAATATTGGGCCAGTTGAGCATTTGTTATGTGCCATCATGTGAGCAATTTGAGTGATTCTCAAAAGTACAGTACATTAATAGACTGAACAAGATTAAATATTTTAATTTAACATTTAATCTATGCCACCACTGTTGAATACAATATTATGTAACCCTAATAAGCTGTCTGTGGTTTGGATCCTGGGTTCTTTCCCATAGTACTATGCTGACAGTTGACCAGTGTGGCCATCCTAGCTAACAGACCCTAGATTTGAACTCTGGGCACTGATGTGCTTTGGGCACTGATGGGCGTGCTCTGGAATTTGCTTTCCTTGTTGATCTGACAGAATTAGTCTGACACTTGGGACACAGCACAAGTCTGCTCATTCAGGATTTTACCTGGAGGAGTGGAAACTGGTGGTTTTCTCTTTATACTTGCCAATCTCACCTTATTTTAACGTATAGTGAATGTACGTTGCGCTTAAACTGTTCACATCTTTATGAATGAAAATAGGTATGTACTATCATGGGTATTCACTTAAAATCAAGCACTGCAGCTGGCAATGTGATCTGACTGTGTGTGTTGAATTTAGCTTTGTGTAAGAGCAAGATTGTAACAACTCCTTCAATTTCCAAGTAGGCTGTAGGAGTGTCCCTTTCCCTCTTATTGCAGACAGGCAGCTCCCTAAAGCCAGGAGATGTGGTGGCAATTTTGGGCTCAGTTCTTGTAATTATACAACATAACATGTTTTAAATGTGGCATTATTTGAGAACTAAAATATATACATGAAAATTTAAATGACTTTCTCTTCCTTGTTGCAGATCCATAACATGGTAGCAGTGCTGGAAGTGATCTCCAGCTTGGAGAAATACCCCATAACCAAAGAGGCACTTGAGGTATGTCTCCTTACATGTAAAATCTACACATGCTTATATATGAAAACAGATTGCTTCTGTACAATATCTTTTGAATTCCCTTTAATGTATTCCAGCTCTTTCACAAAAACATAGATAAATCACAAAGATTACAAATTTAAGGCAAAGATACAGTAATTGGTCCCCCACTGCTTCCTCTGGCACCTCAGTACATGATGGAATGAGTTGTCTTTCTGGAATCATATACCAGCAGAGTAACAACTATATTGGTGTACGGTGCAATCCAATTTCTGTTCACATAAGGGACCAGAACAGTCCCTACTTGCCACTGGTTAATTCCTTGTCTGATTCAGCCAGCATCACTTCCATGTCTTATGACTGGTCACTTTCTTATTCTCTTGCTCAAATTCTAATTCTCTTTAATAACCTACCATGAATAACATAACTTTATAGAGCCATAACATTAGTTTGAAATATGCCCAATTCAGTGCCAATCCCTGATTGGCTGTGAGGTTAGTTCCCCCTATGAGAATACTGTATAGCTAGAGAACACTGACTCGTACACATTGGGTTTATTGTTCAATTCACTTTTCACTCTGAAGCATTCTTATGCCAAATGCCCTCTGTGAGATCTGGTTATACAAAAGGGCTTACTGAGGGAACAACCAGATTACGACTTCCATGTTTAGGCACCCCGAGAACTTTATTTAAATTGGCCCCATAAATCCTTCCCCCAGCACTTGGGGAAAATTCCATCTGACTCTGGAGGGTGGAGTAGGATGTGACAATAAGCCAAGAGTGATGATCAGCTCTAAGGGTCTGTGATTTCTTGTCCCTCTTTCTACATGCCTGTGGTGGTGAACACACACCTTGTCTGGTTGGGGGTTGCGCACATCTTTCCCCAGAACTTGAGCATGCTCCTTGGTCACCTGCAAGAGGTTCATATTGAGTGAGGGACTCCTTCCCCACCACACTCCCCAGATGGCTCCCATGGCACTTCAGCCAGTGGAGAAAGAGAAGAGAGGAAGAATCAAACTTCAGTAGGTTCCCTGAATGGTGGAGCATGGAGTCAGCTGAATCAATCCCTTCCAAAAAGACTAATGGATTATTATTATTTAGCTCCTACATTCTTTGTGAATTTTTGGTGTGATATTTGGCAGAACAGTATGCATTGACAAGTGAAAATGCATCTTATGATTTGACTTACGTTCTATGTTTTCAGAATTAAATTTTTGTAAAACAACTCTTCTCACTTTTTATAGGAAACAAGATTAGGGAAACTCATCAATGACGTAAGAAAGAAGACGTCCAATGAAGAACTTGCCAAACGTGCCAAGAAATTGCTACGGAATTGGCAAAAACTGATAGAACCTGTAACCCAGAATGAATCCGTTCCAAGAGGATTGCCGAATCCACCTGGATCAGCAAATGGTGGTGCACACAACTGTAAACCAGAAGTGCCACCTGCTGTAGTAACTGGATCAAAGCCCATCAATGAATTGAAAAGCAGGAATGATATCCAAAAGCTAAACTCCCCGAAAACAGAAAAACTGGGAAATCGGAAAAGGAAAGGCGAACATAGGGATGGGCATCAGGGCCCCCCTCCTTCTAAAGTTTCCAAAGGTAGTCATGAAGTATTACAAAACTCTTCTCCTCCACCAACTAACGGGATTGCGGGGAGCCCTGAAAGTTTCCCCAGTCCTGTAGATGTAAACCTGCAAACAGGGCCTGAAAGCAGCAGGACAGAACATAGTGAAAACGACAAACACAGTAAGATCCCAGTAAATGCTGTAAAACCTCACACCAGTTCTCCAGGACTTGTAAAACCTTCAAGCACTTCCTCATTATTAAAGACTGCAGTGCTTCAGCAGCATGATAAATTGGAAGAAACCACAGGCCAGCACCAACCTAAGAGTCCCCGCTGTTCCTCGTTTAATCCTGGGAATATTAGGCATGACGCATTTGCTCGACAGCATATCACATACTCACCAAAGGGTTCAATACCTAGTCCATCTCAAAGGTCCCAGTTCTTAGATACTGCACAGGTGCCATCACCACCACCCCCTTCCTTGATGCAACCATCAACACCTCCAATGCCAGCAAAAAGACTGGAGGTTTCTCAGCAATCAGGAACTGAGGTATCTCAACATTGGCAGGAGCAGGCATCTTCTGAAAGCCAGTACAGGCACACAGCAGGGACACTTCAGCACACATCTCCTAGCTGCAAAACTAACTTGCACCCTGGGGAATCTCTGACGTCACATGTTGGCTTTTCACCAGACACTTCAAAAATGGACAGTGATGATGCTGCTTCAGGTTCAGACAGTAAGAAGAAGAAAAGGTACAGACCCAGAGACCATACAGTCAATTTGGATGGGCAGGTTGTAGAAGGGGGTGTGAAACCTGTGAGATTAAAAGAAAGAAAGCTCACATTTGATCCCATGACAGGACAGATAAAACCTTTAACACAAAAAGATTCTTTGCAGGCAGAAATCCCTGCAGTCGCTGAACAGCACAGGACAGAAACAGACAAGCAGGAGCAAAAACCCAACCTGCAAAGTCCTTTTGAACAAACGAACTGGAAAGAGTTATCCAGAAATGAAATAATTCAATCGTATTTAAACCGACAAAGTAGCTTGCTGTCTTCATCAGGAGTACAAACCCCAGGAGCTCACTACTTCATGTCTGAATATTTAAAGCAGGAGGAAAGCACTAGAAGAGAAGCTAGAAAGACTCATGTTCTAGCTCCTAACAGCAAACCCACAGACTTGCCTGGGGTCACAAGAGAGGTCACAAGCGATGACCTCAACAGAATACGTGAACATCACTGGCCAGGCGTGAATGGCTGTTATGATACACAGGGTAACTGGTATAATTGGACGCAGTGCATATCTTTAGATCCACATGGGGATGATGGTAGATTGAACATCCTGCCTTATGTCTGCCTAGACTGAGTACAGTTTTGCTAAAATGCTCTCACATCGGCAGTTAGAAAAAATGGCAGACACTATGCCACTTAAACATGGAGAGAGCCTCCTGCCTGGACAAACAGGGCCAACGAGCAGAGGGTATGAAGGAGCTGGTTCTTTACAGCTCTTTCCTTTAAATTCTCCTTTTGTGAAATGCTGCTACCAGTTTACTAACAAAATTGCAAAGGAAGGCATACGAAGGTTGATAAATTGAGTTCAAAACTCTATAGCAAGCCAGCTATAAAAAAGTGTTAGTCCCCAAGAAGTGAAGATGATTTCCAGCACTTTGTGAATGCCGGAATCTTATTACAGGCAGGTACAGATAAAATTGTAGAAATTACCTTAACAAAATATGCATCTATTTATTTGATTTAATTTGAGTTTATTTGGCAGTGAGATGTCCGAGACAATGTGCAAAAAATCTAGTTTTGATTGCATCAGATCTCTGAACCTGATTGTGTTCTTTTCAAGTTTATGTGGTGCAAAGATTGGGTTTTAAACAGCAGGTATTGCACTGCAGGTTGGTGATCTGGCTTCAGCTCAACATTCCATAGGCATCCACATATTTTAGTCTGGTTTCAGTTAAAATCCAGTCTCTGAGAAATGCTGCAAAAACTAGGGTTTTTTTTAAACATTTTTTCTTCCACCACCAGCCAAATCATTTTTCTCCTTTTCCCTTCCTGCAAACTTCTAGAAAAATTCACCTTTTCTAGAATCCAAAAGTAATGAGGGTGCTACAAGTTTGTAACTGTTCTGTGAGGGGAAAAAGGAAGCCTGTTTATATGCTGGAAATATACTTGTTACCATTCCTTTAGATATTGTTTGCCTTATGGATATCCATCATAAACGCAATTTGCAAAAACAAAGAGCCTTAGTGAATGTACAGTAACTAGACTTCTGTGTTCTTGGGATGCAGAAGGGAGCAACTTTGCTATTTGGTCCTTTAAGTGGACACATTGTGATATAAATGTGGAAATAAAAAAAATTTGCACAAAAAAGTTTGTGAATTATTTATAATTAAACTGGTTACTTTCAAAGTTTGGTCAGTTCAGAAAAGCCAAGTTGAAGCTAAGTACATATTGCCAGCAGTGTGATTAAACCTGCATCCTGTTAGTTCACTTTCTAAACCAGTTAAAGGTGGTTAGTCATACAAGATGTACTGTCTAGCTTTTCTTAGTCTTCCAAGTGTGCTGGCAATATTTACTAATATATACTGGATAATTTTAACTATGGTTAAAGCCAGGGAGAATGTGCTTGGTTCGGAGAGAGTCCTCCAAGTTATTGTTACTATACCTCACAAGTTGAGCTAATTGTTCAGCTTTCTCTTCAGTCCACTTTTGTATGTAGTAATAATAATTGTAAAATGTCTGTATTTCACCTCTGATCACAGCCTGATTCAGTAATGTTTTTATATTCAATTTAGGCAAAACACGTGCAGCTCCTGTTACTATATTAGCAATTGGAACAATTTACTTTTACAGTATCTGGTATTGGGCTTCTGTCCTGCTGGTGCTTTAAAAAAAAAAAAAATCAGGATTACTGCCACTGCAGTAACATTAGATACACCATTAGGACTGAATTCTGCTTCCACTGAGGTCCCTAGTAAAAATCCCACTGATTTTAGTGAGAGCAGGATCAGGCTCTTAATTCTCAAACAAAATCTACTTTTTATAATGGATGTTACTCACGAGGTGAGCATTGGCTTGTTCCATGAAATACAATGAGAAAAGCTTTTAAAATCTAACCTTTCCCATTCAGACTGAATGCTTCTGTGATTTGCCTGGCTTGTGAAATATTGAAACCTGCTGTATATGGGTATTTCAAAATCTTTCCTCAGTGCCTAGTTGTTCCCTTTTCTCTAGGACTTCAGAATTAGAAAGGCTTCTCAGCTGGAAAAACCAGCCACCATAAAAATGTTTCCAAGTATATTTTCAGTTTACTTCCATTTTTACCCTTCTGCAGTGATAGACTACCCAAGCTGTTTGGAGCTGGGGAAGGTATCACCTTGTATCTTGGAAGGGTGGGATGGGTGGAAAGGATGATCCTGGAAAATGCTTGACATTTATTTATTTAGAAAATTTACACACTAAAACACCCCCTAACCCCCAAACAAACAAAAATTTCTGCACCTAAGGGAGTCTGTTCTCTTCCTCTTTCCCTGAAAGACCTTGGTCATTAACTTGCCCATCCTGGGGCCTCTGAATTTAGGGCTACTCTCAAAAGGGAATGGTTGGGCTCTGATCCACCTCATAATTTTTGGCCATGATTTTCTTTCCTGTTTACTCTATTTCTTCTGAAATTCTGGCTGCACTACAGGGGTCTATAGAGGAATATCGTACTCTAAACTGTCACTGGCATTTGCAAGCAACCTGCCACAGTGCCCAGACGCTGACTAACCACTGTGATGATCTTAATTTCATCCATTTTGTAGGGCAGGAGTCTAAGGTATCAGACCCAGCTCTTGCCCACAGCAGTACAAACTGACCAGACATTCCACTGATTACTGTGTGCTTTTAAATCTCTTTTGTGTGACTAGTTTTCACGGTTCTACACTAGGTGGTCAACCAAGTTGGAAGTAATCCAAGGTCAGAAATGAGTTCAAAGACATTTATATTTCAGCATGTTCTATTAGTGTAAACAGTGACGTTCTATCAGCTCCAGCAAATGTTGAAGATGTTTACAAGGTGGTCTTGTCAATTTTGTAAACCAGTTCAAATGAAGTTTACCTTGTACATGTTTACCTGTTGTGTATTTTCATATTTTTGCATGGACTGTTTCTTAGCTAGCTGCTTGTTCTCTAGGTGCTTTCCAAAATGCACTGTCCTTGTCCTGACACTTACAATCTAACAAGTGTAGAACAGACATCTCCTTCCACCATGGCATGGAAACACTCCCATATGAGAATCTAGGTTCTGATGTGGCCCCATTCCTGTGTGGGTGCCTATATATTAGGTGTGCTGACATATTACTTAAATTCCTTTATTTTTGAAAGGATGCATAGAAGAAATAAGCAGTACAAACAATTGATATTTACCTATCCGGGAACCATTCAATGTGTCTCGCATTCTATGTTTAATTAGCCTTAGTGTACTATAAACACTTTGAGTGTTTGAGCAGCATCACGTAATCATTTTCCTTAAATTGTTGTAGATTTTTAACAAGCACAAAGGAGTTTTATCGGTAGTGGGGGGGGGGGGGGAGTGTATAGTCTAGGAGGAAGACTGTATGGAAACAGTGGCCTTAACAAGATGGCTGCTGCTTCATTGTAATAGTTATGTGATGGGTTAGAGAGGAGGTTCCCAGCAGGCTATTAGTATTTTCCTTTTGTGCTCAATGCACTTAAGGAAAAAGCCAGACATAACAATTACTCTTGCTAATGCTACTACCTCAAACTTTTCAGGAATGTCATTATCCCACCTGAGTAGGTGTTAATCTTGCCACTGACTACCAGTGTCACTGCAAATCTAATAAAAAAAAAATTTCTCCCTTCACTTATAAGGAGATCCCGTCATGAAAGTAATTATGCCTTGTATCAAAGCAATCGCATCTATAACCATCCCTATCTATAAGTTTAAGCACTACTGAAGCATCAAGAGTGGCTAGCATGGAGGACTGACAGTATCTTTATGCTGTTCTCGCTCCCTGGTCCAAATCTGGTGTGCATGGATTTTGAGTGAACACCCATGAGATGCTAACTATAAAATTAGTTGGTCCTATTCTAGCAACTTTTAAACAAGTGTTCCAGCTGGCATCTTTCCTGACAGTATAGTTGGAAGGCCAATTATCTGAATTAGTAATAGTCTGTTACCTGTATTGTCCTACAGATGACCTCTCCATTTCATGAATGAATTGTGTAAGCGAGGAAACTGCTTCCTATGCTGTTTTGTGGAGTTCATTTCCTAGGACTCTGGGTTGTAATGTCTTTCACTAGTACTAAATTCAGTGCTCATTTAAATGTTGGATAGATGGATGGAGAGTTAGCTATTTTCCCCTGAATTTTAAAATTGGTGAGAGGGGAAGAGGGAGGTGGGTGTGTCTCACATTAAAAAACATGTTTGGAAATGTAGGAGTTTGACAAGAAATCACAAGATGTGAAATGAGGTCTTGATTTTTTTCCGTTTGCAGGGAAGGAAACAGTGGTGTACACAGTGAGCTGCCCTCACCTCACTCTGAACAGCTGAAGCCTGAAGGAGAGGGATACCTCATTTGTTTACCACAGATTGCAAGTGGAAAAATTCTGTTACCAAGAAAGTGATGCCCTGGGAGTGCTGGACTCAGGCCTTCAGTCCCATACAGCTTACACCTCAGATACAGAGGAGGTCCCAAGACTCCTGTCCACCTATTCCATGAGAAAAAAATGACAAAACTAAAAAAAAAAAACTAGTCAGCTTTATTGTTCTGTACCCTTTTTACTTCACGTAAACAAGTTCTTGTGCTTTTGCCTAAATGAAGTGCTTTCTTTGTAACTATACTAGCTTAAGGGGAAAGGTGCCTCTTATGCTCCCTGCCCCCCACACTATTGGTTTTATCTGCTAGTATCTAGGAGCTCTAGTCATATACTAGGTCCTGTACACAGAACAAAAACACACTCCTTCCCTCTAAAGAGTTTAGAACCTAACATCTGGCAGGAGGCAGAGGGGAGTACAGAGAAACAATAGCGCTGGCAGATTGCATCATAGACAGTAATCTCTGCATTCTCACAATGTGACCATTGCCAAGTGGCAAAATATACATGTGTACCTTGCTCCAAGGACAGGCATGCTCTGTTGCAGACATAGGGCAGTTTAGAGTAAAGAGGGGGATTTGGTCAGATCTGCCTTTTGGATAAATGCTTTTCTGAGCCTTCCTGATCTTTATTAATAATATGCATTAGACAGTAGAGAGCACATCTCCAGTGCATGGTTATTAGCATCTGTTTTTTAGGTCATTCACAAAAATAATGCAAAAAAGCTCTGTCACCATTATTAAATGGAGGCAAGCTGACTTCTCTGACAACCTATAGAACTGCACTGACCCTGACTAACCAATCCATCAAACACTTGCTAATGTAGACTGCTTCTGAGTTTCTGTCGCAATTCATGAGCAAGTTAGGTATGTGGAAGTTCTACCTAAGTTAATACTAGGGAGAAGCTGGAATCCGTTAGTTAAGTCACTTCCCTCTTCTGAAACTGTACCAATATCCTCTCTAGCCCTTTATTATTTTACAGGTAGTGTGTGCTCATGGTGACTTGACAGCTGGTTTAATAGGGGATCTTTCAGAACTACAGAGGAGTTTTTAAGTTGCAATAGCCATGTTTGGATTGTTAGAGAAGAAAAGGGTGGTCCGAGAATTATTGTAGGAGTTACTGCATGCCTGGATGGTTCTGCTGCTCTTGTGTGTCTACGTGTGAGAGAGGCTGCTGGTCGAGAGGTAATGACTACCTCAGGAGCTGAAATCAAAGCCAAGTTTCTCTTCAGCTTAGCAACAACCACCACTGTGTGTGGGTGCGTGCGCAGAGAGCCCTTAAACCAAATGATAAACCCTGTATCTGATGGAAACCACTTCAAGCTGGGGTGGGGCAGCCCCGCCCGGCACCTCTGCCCATGTGCCTGCAGCAGAGTCCGGGTCCTAGGCTACGAGACAGCCAAGGAGGGGGAGGTAATGGCTTTCATTGGACCCACTTCTGGGGGGGGGGAGGGAGAAGCAGTCCCGCTTACAGAGGTGGGTCCAATAAACGACATTACCGCCCTCCTCCTCCTCCTCCTCTCAAGCGGGGCCTCACCCACCCCAGAGTCCGTTACCTCGGGATTGGTGCTGCCTCCCGCCAACGACACCGCGCGTCCTCGTCAAGCCTCACGCCGCTCCACCACACTGGCCCGGGCACGGACCCCGCCTTGCCTAGCGGGGGTAGAGGCGTGTGGCGCCCCGGGGTTCGCTCCCGCGAGGATACGATTCTCTGCGCAGACGCGGACTCAGGGGGCCCGTTCCGGCTCCTCACGGCCAGGACGGAGGCGGAGCCAGGTGAGCGGAAGTGACGCCATGTACAAGCCTCCCCCCCCACCTCGAGCCTTATGGGGCGATGGGGAGGGGCTACCCCAGGAAGTGATGCGCTGGCGGCGCTGACGTTGCGCCGCGGTCTGCCGGGGCCCGTAGGTAGCGATGGCGGCCGCGCTGGCGGCTCCGGGCGGCGGCAGCTCCGGCTCCGCGACGGCGGGCGCGGCTCGCGGACCGGCGCTGCGGGAGGGCGCCCGGGTGTCCGCGCTCTGCCTGGCCTGGTACGGGCTGAGCGCGGGCGGGAACGTGGTGAACAAGCTGCTGCTGGGCGGCTTCCCGCGGCCAGTCACCGTCTCGCTCTTCCACATCCTGGGGCTCTGCGGCCTCCTGCCGCCGCTGCTGCGCGCCTGGCGCGTCCCTCCGGCCGGGCCCGCGCAGCTACCGCCCCGCGCCTACCCCCGCTACATCCTGCCGCTCGCCTTCGGCAAGTACTTCGCCTCCGTGTCGGCGCACGTCTCGCTCTGGCGGGTGCCGGTGTCCTACGCGCACACAGGTGAGGGGCGCGTGAGGGAGGTGTCCGGGTCGGGGAGAGCTGAGCCCTTCCTTACAGCCACCGCAGATCCTACTTCAGCCGTCCCCAGGGAGCCCCCTGCCTTATTCCGTGTTTGACCCGGGCCGTGGCGCCGTTGATCGGGAGGGGTGCCATTTCTCTGACCTGTTCCTGGCTCAGCCCCTTGTGCTTCCCTCGAAACAGTTACCCCTGCCTTGGTTCCTGTAAAGTCTTTCCCAGACTAAGTACAAGTAACGTTTGCCCCTTGTGGCCTATTGTATTCCTGCCACTTCCCTTTTGGAGCTACCCATTCTGTTTGCTATTTTCCATAGAATCTTAATCTGGCTCTTTGTGTCAGCCTGAGCTAAGGACTCCACCCCTCAAAATGTATGATCAATGTAAGGCTCAACCACAGTCTAAATGATGTTTTAAAGGAAAAGTATCAGAGGGGTAGCCATGTTGGTCTGGATCTGTAAAAAGTGACAGAGTCCTGTGGCACCTTATAGACTAACAGAAGTATTGGAGCATAAGCTTTTGTGGGTGAATACCCACTTTGTCAGACACATTGGTAGATGTGATATATGCCATCATGTGCCAGCAATGCCCCTCTGCCATGTACATT